ATATTAGATTCACACCAAGTTAGGCGAGTAGGATACTAACTTGAACAAAAATCATGTACAAATGAATTTTATTTTAAGAATGAACATATGAACAACTATACAGATTTTGGGGTAGTAGTTAAAGTTTCCTATTTCCACTCTTGTATTTACTCTGTGAAGTCTGAAACCCTCCAATAAACTAAAATTCACACCAAGAATCTCTGTCTTTTCATAGTCACATGTGAAGCCTAAAATACTGTTTCAACATCATTACCATTAAAATTCTCACTGCCCCTCACCAACACTGAAGTTTCTGCAGATTTTTGCATTGCTATTGATTTCAACACTGCTTGTCTCATGCAGGAAGGAAGAAAAATAAGCTGGTCTTTCATCTCAATCCAATGAATGAAAGCTGAGCCAAAGTTGAACATGATCATCATCAGGGCCCTCAATTTTGATCACCGACAACCTTTGAAGATTGGCAGTATTCAGAGGATTTCTTATGGTTGTTTTCATTAAGATTAGTTTTCTAAAAGCATGTCCAGTATCAACAGAAGTTGGAGGAAAAGCAAGATGCTACGAAGAAGGGTGATATTGAGATAACCTTCACCAGACTTTAAGGAACCTTTCCAAAACTGAGTAAATGTTTAATTTTTGAATTCAAACATTAGTTGTTTATACAATACCCACTCAGAAAGAATCTCCTCCTCAGTGCAATCAAGTGCTACTTCCTGCCCATTAGCATTCACCTTTGAGTTACTAAAATGCTTGGCCAGATGTTGAATTTTATCTTCATCTTACTCTTCCAGGTCATTTTCACCAATAGTAAATAGTATTTAAAACATTGAATGCATTCAAAATACTATCATTATTGATTCTAGATTCTGAATCAAATTTCTCAAGAAGGATACCTTTACTTTCTTGAAGGTGTCTATGTTTCATTTTGAAACTTTAATTGTGTATGAGTTGTGATCTATTTCTCCCTAAAGCTCATAATATTTCATACATTTCTGCAGATGACCCCAGTCTTTCTCCTGTAGCTCTTTCAGAGCTCTTATTGTGATTTGTGCACAATGTTCAACATCAGTAAACATGATTTTGGAATCCTGGAAGGTCTTGCAGAGAGATTTCATGCAAGTCAATACATCTTTCAAAAAGCATGTCACTGACAGAAAGTCGAAATTATCCAGATTTTTCAGCATCTCTTGTATTTTTGGCAGGGATTCAACCTTAAATACCAGCATAAGTTGTCAAAATATCTGATAATAGCATTGACATTTATCATGGAAAGTTAACCACCTTGTTGCAAAAACTCCATTTTTTAAATGGGTTTCTTGAAAGGCAGACTGGGATAGTTTGAGATTTTTAGTGCACTTGGCAGAATTTTCCATATAATGGGCAATTTTGTTCACAACTGCTTGGTACTTGATAAGAAATAGAATGTCACTGGCAGCTTTAGAGCTGGCCAGTACAAGATGAAGTACTGAGTAACATAATGAAAGCATGGAAGGATTTCCATCCTTAAATCTTTTGATAACACCAAAATTTACCAGTCACCATGATTGCACCATCTGTCCCTAGGCATATGAGGTTTACCATCTACAATTTCTTGCTGAGAAGCACAGTCTACACTTCTTCAAACACATCTTCAAATGTAATTCCTTTAAACTCACTTAAGGACAAAACATAGAATTCCACTTGTCTATTCCAAATAAATCTAAATTATATATAACAATATTCTGGCAGTCAATGTGGTCTTTCTCTCATCAAATACCAGTGCATACAGTTCAGACGATAAATCAAAGAAAAATTTCTCAATAAATTTTGACATGCACCAAATGAGATAATCAACACTGTCTTAACTGGTAGAGGGCATTCTTTGCTCCAAGCTTAGCACCTTCAATGCTTGATAGCCCTGTTCAAAAAGCAAATTACAATCCTGAGTCATGTCCAGTCTCTAGAAGCAAACTCAATTTGACATATTCAATATATGCTACATTAATTTCCCTTGAAAAAAAAAGAAAAAGAAATTTCACTTATTTGCATTGTCATATGGCTTTGCAGAGCTTTCATTTTCTTTTTGGGTAAATCCTCTTTGACCAGTAAATAAACATTCCTCATGGTTACTACTACTGCTTACTTTATTGTCTTATAAGTTATCAACCTAGCTTTACTGCCTGTTCTTTGGCTGCAGGGGCACAGTTTCTTTGGGCTAATTTATGGTTCTTCATTCATTCTTGTTTTTATAGATCATCACTTTTGGGATTTATCATTCTTTCCCTACATGTAAATATTTATTTTGCCAGCATCAAAACATACTGTGCAGAAAAACATGTCTTCACAATCAGAACTGGATGTACCTACTTCAAGCCATTTAAACTTGGAAAAAGTACAATTATTTTCTTTTTCTTTTCCCACTGATAACAGTTTTTACAGTAAAGTTCAACCTCATAACTAAAGCTACTCATTGTAGGTGTGCTGATAGGCTGGAGAAAACACAGTCTGTTGTTTAATACTAGGCTTTGGGAACTTCAAATACTTTGATACACATTTTTTGTACCTATGCAAGTCATAGACACAATTTAATAACAAAAGATGACACTCATTACTCACTAGTAGTAAAATATTGCTTAGCTTATTTGTAATGTTAAATAAGTTCTTTCACTCATTATCCTAGTTTTTCAAACAAACCACTCAGCTGGCTCAATTAAACATACTCATTACTTTTACATATATGCAAAAAAATATCATCACATCATTTACACTATGTGAAATTATTCCATTTAGTATTGTGGCCATGTAACCTGCTCTCTACCAGAAAATTCATATTTTGAAAATCTGGTATCAACTACAACAAAACACAAAACTAAGTTCGAGGTGTATAAAGCTCTTATTTTTACTTGTTCAATTTGTCAGTAAAGATTTTAGTATATTATCTCTTAACACAAATGTGAATGTTTTATCTGATCAAGTTATGTCTTGCCTATACATTTATCACATTGTGGCCATGAAGAAATCCAATAGGACACCAGTTCACAGTAGAAGAGGTATAAAATACCTTCACCATTTTTTTTCCAGAAGTAAAATGCAATTCATCAAATGCCAATAGTGATTTGGTGAATGGGCAGCACAAGCCCTATTGGCTTTGATTTGATAAAATATTTGTTTATGTGCCTTGTTTTTTCATGTTAAATATTAGAAGTTAATATAAACTGTCATATTCATAGACTGAAAGATAAATTTGAATCATGGTGTTATCACATTTTCTTTAATTTTGCATCAGGCAAGTCAATTTTAACCAAAACAACATAAAAAGAGAGCTAATGGAATCCTTATGAATATATTATCATAATAGAATTACTAAAAAATCTCCAAGAGACTGATAAAGCAATTGAATTATTTTCTAAAACCATGTTGAAAATCATTAACCACATGTTAATTTTCAAATGCTTTTCTGAAAAGCTTCTGACCCCATATTCCAACAACTTGCTAATGAATGTTAACCTAATGGCCTATAATTTCCATGTCTGTCTAGAATAGTATCCCAAATATTGGACTAGAGAGTAATGTCAAATACACAATATCTTGTATGTCAGCTAAATTAATGTCCAAAATAAACCACTCTTTTGGAACAAAATACTACCACAAATATGAATAAACTAGTTTTGACACTTTCATATGCCTTAGTCAGCTACACTTCACAGAATTCCACAAGTGTGGTTTATTTTTCACCTCTGTGTTAGATAGTAGAATGCTGTTTCATATGGTAAGAAATTTAATCTTCCACAATTCCAGTGAATTTCAAAAAGACCCAAAACTGAAGCACTTCAAAAAGTTGACCATTCTCAAGTTTTTTTTTTTGTTTTAAATTCACTGCACTTTTTAGAAAGATTTATAGGTGATCCAGTACGCTAACCCTTCTGTCAAAATCAAAATTATTCAAAAGTAAATCCAAGATATTCTCAGCCTCATGCAATGAACGTAGACTAACCCAATTTTCCAAGAACAAAAATTGAAAGCAAAACATGTAAAAAGAAGAAATTAACAAAAAATTAAAATCTCAGAGTCTTTAAACTTTCCAATTAACTGTGAGTCTTTATGTCAGGCCATGACAAAATACTTAAACGTTAAGTAAAAATAGAATATACCTTATTATACTTGTTTCTCCTTTAGTGTGTTGGGCTATTTACATTAGTGTTAACATAATAGTTACATACTCTGTGAATGATAAAGCTCCTGGGCCGGATACTATTTCCACAATAGTTTTGAAAGAGGTTAAGAATTGGATATGAGAGCCACTTGCTAGTATTTTTGTAAGTCCTTGAATAGTGGGCAGGTGCCAGAGGATTGGAAGTTGGCTAATGTTACTCCTCTTTTCAAGGGAAGTGATAAACATTGTCCCAGTAATTAGTCTTACATCAGTTGTGGGAATAGTCTTGCAAAGGCTGATAAAAGATGCTTTGCAAAGTCATTAAACAAAGTTTAAAATTTTATTGGATAGTCAATCACAAGGGAAAATCTAGACTTACATTTTTACAAATCTTTTGACATTCCTTGAAAAGGTTACTGCTTATATAGATGAAGGTGTAGATTTGGTGTATCTGGATTTCCAGAAAGCATTTAACAATATGCCACATAAAAGGCTTGTAACAAAGAATTATCTATATAGGTGTGGGGCATAAGTTAGCTATTTGGAATTGGATGGAAGAAAGCAGAGGGTTGTTATAAATGGAGTTCAGTTAAACAAGATTAATCATGTTACGTTAAACGGTGAATGATTCTATTGACAGTTGATAATGGATACACTGAATCTATTGATGGTGGGGAATGAGAGTACTATTAACATTATAAATTCATAGATCACAATTTCAAATTTTCTATGGCAAGGAGTAACTTGAATTAAGTGACTGTGAGTGTAATGTGAATGTGAAGAATTACATATGGGTATTGATTCATAATTGAGTAAGATCGTCACAAGTGATTCAGAAGTTTAAAATAATAACAGCTGCATAATTACTTGCCTTACTCGTGCCATTATTTTCTTCGTAAATGCTGGTCATTTTATACATACAAGTAGGTAATTCAGCTTTCATTCCATGATTGTACACTGGCTCTAATCGATACATGCCACATGGACCGTTGAGCGCCATATTGAACGTTTTGTTTCGTGAAATGTTATTGGTCGAATATATGAATTATTACACAATATTTTTCGATGTACTTCACCAGGAAAAATTTCAGCAATAATATTCACGTAAAATATTTCAGTTCTAAAAAAATTTTATTTTAGGAACTTTTACAGCGTTGAGAAAAAGTGACTAATCAACGGCAGTGCCTCGCATATAACATTCAAAGAGTTATTATTTAGTGTTATATTTGTGGATGGTTCAAGTGAGGTTGGTTTTGAATATGATAAATTCATAATTTTAAATGGTTCTGTAAATATTATTATAGTAAAAAGCTACGGTTATATATTATTTGGGCTTTCTTTCCTAGTCATTCTTTTATGTAGTGATGCAACAGAATTTATTTAGTGATTTATCACGGTTGATAACCATTTGGTCACGTGATCAAGTAAGGTAACAATGGCGGCTTCCGAAATATTAAATATTGATAATTTTCTGGCTATTCAAGTGTTACGACTGACCTTATAAAATTGTGATTAGGGCAATTAACATTTTACTTTGTAACTTTTCCAACTAAAGACTATGTCTATGAAAGTAAAGCGAAGCCGTGGAAAACCACCGCAACGAACACAGAAAGAGGGAAGGGCAGAAGGCGGTATCCGGTATTCTATATAATTATGTATTACTATTAAACGATTTATACCGCTAAATCTAGTGCTTGAACTGAAGTGGGGGAAAACAAAAAGCGGGATGGTTTGTGAAATTTATTAAGCTGAGTACTATATTTCTTGTTTTTGGCGTGTATTCGTTATTTATAATTAGATATGTAACTGAAATGTAAAAAATTATAAACTTAATAGATTAGATTAGGTAGGATAATGAAAAATAAATAAATATTCTTCACGAGGTATACTCGCGAATAGCTCGTGTGTTACGTAATACATATAGTAACGTGAGCTATAAAACAATAAAAGTAAGTATAAACAGACGTAAGCTGTTACGAGTTATAGTATGAAAACTCTGGTGGTTACTTTTAGGTTACGAACTAGGTCAAACCGACAGAGCCCTTAGCGCGAGGGTTCATTTTCCATCCTTATACTACTTTGTCTCATTCCTGCCTCACTCTTACACGAAATTTTAAGAAAAAATATACTTTCTCTTCCCAATTCCTTGTCACCTTAAATATTTATTGCATCGTTTACTGACCCTTTTCATTGTGAGAAGCTTACATTTACAGTCTATTGAAAAGTAGCGAGATGGTTTCAGGCCCTCACTTCACTATAATTTGAGATACAATAATGCATTTGTTTGAAAACTGAATACAGAACCTTGTATATTATCTGTTAATTATGCGTTTTAGAATAAACTGCTGTATATCAATGTTTTCTGTATTACTCTGTTCCGGTGTTTGATGCAGTGTAATGGAAAATGTCGGGATATGCTTATTATACGTATTTGAAAATCCTGTTTGAGTGTTTTGTTTTCAATTTTCCTAATAAATATTTGCATAATTTTTATTCTAAAGAATGGTTGTTGTTAGTGTTTAAGCTGTTTTTAGATAGATGTTAACTATTTTGGTTATTGATTGAAGTGCGAAATTTAAAAATAAATAAATAGCTGGATCAAGCAAACCCCCTGATTATACAGGCCTGCGATAGTTTTATTGTCTTGAAATTTTTACATGTTCTAAAGTAATTCCTGTGCGCTGAATCCGAAAATGATATAAATTTTTCTCCATCACGTACATAAAACGTCATAACGCAAAACATAAAAGAAAGACGACAACACGTAGTTTTGAGGCTAAAAGACGTAGATTTCACACACAAAAAATCAGGATGAATGAGGAAGCATGTTCGTTTGACATCAAATGTTCTTCCTTTTCTTCAATTTGTTTGTATTTTTGTTAACTAACATAATATTAAAAAATGATCGTTGTGGTAAACGAATTAATTATTTAATCTAAGTAAGAGTTTTTTCTTCCCAATTTGTAAAAAAAACCCTTATGTGATAGGAAAAAAATGAATATTATTTTCGAAATCTGCGTAGCTGAATTATGGAAAATCCGTTATTAAAACCAAAACAATTTTTATGAACTATAAATTCGCAGGCCTGTGTTATTAATAAGTGATAGAAGGTTTTTAAAATTCATAAAATTTAGATTTTCGGGGATTAATGAAAGAATAATGTGTTACGAAATTAAGTAAATACACGATTAACAACATGTACACTGAGTGGTCACAAGTAAATAGACACATAATTCTTCGTCATTTAACTGATTTATGCCAACTAATTTGTGTTCACAGAGCACTATATAAATGAGAATGGTCCGCACACTAATTATCTTGTGCTACAACATGTCTAGAACTCAAG